GGCGAAAAAAAAAATACATGTCACTAAACAAAATTTCTTACACAAAAATAAATCTTACAACTAAATAATCGGTCCAAAACTGTAATACTTATGTAACCGACAGTACTGCACGCTTTTTATTCGTTTCTTATTCGGTGTCAGACTCCGCGTTTGTTCGTTCATAAAACCCCGAGTAAATGACAATATTTGTCTGCATACCCTCACGTTAACGGTTTAAACGATTGGTGAAAAATTTGAAACAATAGGTCATATTTTTCTGTATCTTTTTACAAAAAAGAGATATGAAAACATCAATATGGACAGAAAAGGAATTGGAACAGTATAATATTATCAATAGTTCTTAATCAGATTTCCTTACAAGAATGTTATAACATTTTTTTTCATTTAATTGGAAATAGCGTATATCGTACTGAATGTTATTTTGACGCTTCTGCTATTTTGTACTATGTAAGACGTATGTGCATATCTTTAAAAATGCCTAATGTCTAGTTTATTACAGTTAAATGTGATATTTATTTTTACTCTCCCTCTGTTATTGGTGACTCCTAACACATAAATAAATATAAATTTCACTACGAATTCATTTTAGGAGTGTGTAGTATATAATTTGCATGTAATGTAAAATACCAAAAGAGTAGTTGTCGTATTAATTATTTTTAAGAATATAACCCGAACTGTATTCAGTATCACTTGTGCAGACCTGTTAAGCAAAATTAAAAAGTAGCACGCAAAAATGAATAAAGAGATCAGAAAACATTTAGGTTATAAGGTGAACATATTCATTAAGGCAAGTAAAATTATTAAAATATGAGATCTTTGATACATTAAACTTTTCAATATTTCATGAATAAAAAAAATTGTCTCTTTCAAGTTTTCTCGGCTTCTAGAACTCGGCCAGATAAAATAAGAGAGAGTAATCGTTTCTTTATAGTTCACTAAGAAGGTGACGCTTTTCGAAATTTAGGGAGGGACATTAAAACCGGAGTAGTCTAACTGGTTATAGTGTTGTTTTCAAAGATTTGACCGACGCGACGCGAGTTCCGATTAGGGGATGCTCTAAGTGACCGGATCGCCTGTCCGAACTGGTACGGCAGCTGTTTTCTGATCTGTTATTATTCTAATGGGCTTTGTGTTTATTTTACATTTTTCGAGAGCACCGAAACGTTGCGCCGCGCTCGATTTTATAACAAATATTACGTTTCAAATGTGTTTGCCTTTAATAAAATGGATGTTATGTGGTATCGGTTGCATATGCGCTTTGGATGTTCGGATATTTTTTAACGGGACGTTCCATGGCCTTTTTTATGTTTCTTCGTTGTTTGGTTTCATTTCGAATATTCATAAATGCCTGGTTAATTATTTTTTGTAAGAAATATGTCCAAACTTATCACAGTGTTCTTTTGTATAAAAACTTGTATTGATTTAGTTATTTCAGTTTTTTCACAGGTAAACGCAACGCAAATCAAGGATAACTACTAACTGATCATTAAAGAAGTATAGTTTTATAAAGAAGAAATATTGATATATCAGGATTATAGAATTCAGAATCATAAACTTACATTACAAATTAGAGTTCCACTTATCGCATTCACAATTCTTGCTCTGTTATTACTGTTCCAGAGGGTGTTCATTAAATAATATACTAAATAAACGGCTTTTGAGAATTTTATGAAATTAGTTACGATTTAGCTAATGGTCTTTACGTCTTTTTGTATATACTCCATTTATATGAACCATAACTTTAGAAAATATTTTTTTTAATAGCAAAAGTGTTCCTTTGTTGTTGTAAATAGTAAACTAGATGACATATTTTTTTTTCATTCTAGTAGTATAAGAATTAACTTTAATGCATTTATTATGAAAAAGTTTCCTTCGAATACAAAAATTAAATAAAAGTAATATTTCCCTTCGACACTAGATGACGTCATACTGTTATCGACGTTAGCACCCCAAGCGTCAAGAAAATGTACTATTTTATTTATCAGTGACATCTATTATCAAATAGATAAAGTTTTTTTATTTTCTACTCTTCGCTAGGGGTCACTGCATGCAAAGTAAGTTCAAAATTTGTTAATGGTTTTAATATATTAAAGAGGGATTGTTCAAATTTTACACAACTCCTTAAAGTTGATGATAAGTAAAAACTTTAGCCTTATATTCAGAAAACGACTGAATTATTCCAATAATTTCGTTTAATTAAATCGGTTCCTTAGTTTTTATACTTAATTAATTTAACCTATACATATCTATAAATCAAAACGAGCGATTAAAAGTAAATTATGCGATTGAATTTGTAATTGTTTTTCAATATATTTTCGGGAACATTTTAACGTTATTTTCATTATTGGCTTTTATCTGTATTTCAGACGAGAAAAGTTTTTCTGTCAATTGAAAATATCTCAACATAAATAATTGAACATTTGTTTAGAAAATGCTGCAAAACTGTAATTTGACATTGACTTATATATACCTCGGCACATATTTATTATCGAAAAGTTTTCAAACTATAGATTTTATTAATAAACTACATAAATTTGGTGAATTTCTTAATTTTTTCTTTATGTAAAATCATTACATTTGAAACTGAATGGTAATTTTAACATTTTCCATAATCAGTAGCATCGAAACTTATAAGCAGAAAGCTGTTTATACCCAGCGGCCAATCTTCCACATTTTTGGTAGCCATATTTGAAAAACGCAATTTTTCGCGCCAATGAAGCGTTCTAAAGAAATGTGTTGGCGGGTCCCATTCTAAATAGGTTCCATTACAAAATTAGATTTACTGTTCGAAAAGAGTATCATGTCACCTATTGCAAGGAACAAAAGCCTGTTTTCGCTTGTTCATTAATTAGGGATTTAATATTGTTGCAATTTAGCCATTATCTGTACAGGCATGACCTGCTAAACACTAATGTGGTTACAGTTTCACATTTAGGTTAATTTTCGGTTAGTTGGTCTTTAGTGACGAAGGGATTGGAACGTTTGAAAATTATTCGGCAAACTTTTAACCACTTGTAAACAATTTTACTTTATATAAGTGTTTTGTTGGAAAGATGTTATACATAAATTAGTTCCAGCTACTTTAATGTATCATATAATTACTATCTGTATAAAATTATATTAAGTATGCGCTGACAACTTAGCGTCACCGAAGTTAACTAAGATCGGTTTGTCTTGTTCATTTTACAAACTCGTACGATCAGAATTGAAATGAACTATTAAATAAATCAATGATTAAAACGTGTAATAAAATTGGTCTTATACCAAGAAATTTTAAATGAGGAAAATAAAGTCAAAGTTTGAAAGTGATTTTTTCAATGTATCATTAAAGTTACGTTTCGTTACGGGTACAATAATTTAGTTAAGTTTAACATTTTAACGACTATGTATAGAAACCCTTATCTTGAATAAACTTGTAAAACAAGGGGCTCAATCAAATCGTTTCGTAATAACTATTAAAAAGGTGACATGCGTCGTATTTTACAAACGATACTGGGCAGTTATTGTCAAGTCCTTTCCGAAAGGTGGCGCTGTTGAACACGAAATAACTTTTTGTCAAAACATATACACTGCGTGAAAATTACCCTCAGTAAAGATTGATCTTACAATGGTTGGAAGATGACTCGTTGGGAATTTTTTTTTAGGACTGAGTGCCTGATTTATGTCTTCCGCGGTTGCCTTCATTATGCTAATTATGAGTCGCGTAAGGGCATTGCTTTTTTGTTTTCATTTTCTAAAGTATATTTGCGAATAATCAACGAGACATGGATAATTTACAAATGTATTTTTGTGTACATGTATAAATAATACGAGTTTGTCTAAATGGTTTCACGAATTGGTGTGCAAAAACTACGAAATATATAAAATATATGGCCGCCTACAATATCTTCACGTTGATTCATTTACCTAGATTTCCTTTCTCGCATTGTTAATTTTTTAATATTTTGGATAGCATTGGTATTACATAAGTTATAAAGGAGACTTCTTATTTATTTCATCAACTTAAAAAATGTTTTTTTAATGTAAGCTCAAAAAAGATTTTTTTTTTAAATAAACGCGATAAGTCGGTAAATATTTTCATTAGGTAATGTACCTAATGTATTCTTGAACTGGCGGTAAGGTGGGTCAATTAAGAGGTTGTGAAAAAGACACATTTCAGATTTGCTCATTTCCTTGTCAAAGTCAGTTTGCGGAACGACGAACGCAACATTTTCAAATTTGGAATACCGGATTTGGAAATTTACAAAAATAAATATGACATGGCAAAAATATATAAGTACTTGTTTTGAAACAAGCGTATATATTTATTTTTTAAATAGCTATAAAAAGATTTGATACCTAGACTTGTACCGTTGCGTGAATATTTTTTTGTTTTTTAGTTCAGATATTAAATGGTGTATCGAAAGCTAACATTTTCCGTGCATGCGTCAAAGTTAGTGATTTATTATATTTACGAAGAAAACGTTTGCAGCTGTTGTTTTTGTTTTAAAATTAAATTATTTAAACATTCAACATTTGTAAAACTTATTTTGAACATATAAAATTTACTAAACTATTTTTTTAATTCCAAATTAAGTGGAAAACGTTATATGTTTAGTCAAATTTTATTTACAGTTTTTGAAATATTTATATTATTTGTTTCTTATGTAGTGACTATTCGGTATTATAAGGGGTTTTAAAAATTATTATTTCGGCAATGAATTAAAGCTTGAGTCTCTGTAAGCTCCTTGTTAATATTAATATTCTATATTTAGCGTCGTTCAATTAATATACGTAACAACATTTCGAATGAAACAATGGACCGGGTCTCGTCCAACTTCGTATCGATGGAGGCCTCAAATTAAATATGAAATATTTCCAACTGGCAACACGACGCACACAGCGATGCGAATAACGCGTCCGCTATACGGCAACTAAACGCACACAGGGACCGTGTAAAACTACACAAACACATTGAAGCGTAAGAGGGGTGTCTTTGTTACACATTAAGGAAGAAGGGCATGAAGACGGGTGGGGTGTGGTGGCGGGGGGGCGGCCACGGGTGGGGCTGTGTTTTGTATTCAGCCCGTTTCGCCGCTTACTGCTTCGCGCGAGACACTTCGAGATCTCAATGGCGCCCTGTCGCAATGGCGATTCGGAATTTCTTTATTAGAGGTGCCCGGGCGTTTTGCTAACCCACGCTTTCCTCGCCTCTGGCTCATAATAAAAAGCGCGATAATCAAAAGCTCACGAATTCCTAACGTCTTTTTTTAAGACGCCTAACGATATATTTTTATATATTTAAAATTCCTTTCAAATATCACATGCTCCGTGATTAGATTTTTTTTAATATATCCTTTCAGTGTATGGTATTGTATTGTAAGTCTATATTCGATGTCTTGTGATTAGCAAAATATTCCACTTATAACAGAAAAGCGTCAATCTCTATGTATATCTTCTATAATTAATAAAAAAAATATTGTTATGCTAATATACTGAGTATGCTAACGTACTAATTTACAGTGTCAATTTTGTTCGTTTTTCATACGTCGCAAAACACATTTATCATTTTAGGGGTAGAATGCTTAATTTGAAGGCGTTGACTCAAAAAAAAAATGAAATGAAATTTAGAAAATTATTCCTAAATTGACCAAGTTGTTATAAATCGTAATTATTACAAAAAATGAAAATGTTTTATAACGAAACGATATAGAAAATGGGTCAAAAGAGCCTTTGTTTTTAAGAGTAAACTTTTGAAAGTTTCTTTTATTCCAATTTGAATGTCGGTACAAAACATATTTTAAATTCAACTTCTTCCATTACATTTTTTTATTATGTGTTTATGAAATATAAAGAAAAAATTGTCAATAAAACTTTACAAAAACGAAAAATTTACGAATTAGTTCGTTGAAAGTAAGTACAGCAAGAGATTAAAAAAAATATAGAGTTCGTTTTAACTTTGCAAAAAGTGATATGGAAATGAAAATTGCTCAGGATTTAAAAGTAGCGAGTAAGTGGAAGTGGGTAGTAAAAAAGAGCAAAATCCAAGGAAGCGTTCGGTCTAGTTGTACGGGACATCATAAGAAGAGAATTTTATGCAAATCCGTTTCCACTGCTTCAGCGTTCAAGCAGCTAAGTGCTTTTTAGGTACCGACAGCATATTAGTAACGCTTTAGTGTATTTTTTGTACGTGAAAAAGTTTTCGAACGAGCAGGCGGTTCACTGGATTGAGACCCATGGACAACTAGAACACCCGAGGGCTGGCAGATGCGTTGACAACTTTAAAAAAAAATTGGCGCTGGTTATCAGATGAAGCTCGAAAGTATAATGCTTCTACTTCACACTGGTCTTCTGTGAGGCAACAGCGCTGTTGCGTGGCCCTAGGCCCTGCCACAGCAGAAAATATCATATTCTGATAGGCTCTCTTTAGAACACTGGACAAGGAGGAATCTCGCTGCAGATCGATAGAGTGATGTAACCACTGCAGAACTAGTTCAGGGTGATTCGAGATAGTGGCAGTTTTCCAGAGCTGGGGCACTTCAAGGATAAGGGATCTATATTTGGCGTCGAGATACAAGCATTAGTCAAATTTTGTTTTTAAATTGGTATTTCGATAATGCGTTATTTTTGGTCATATGCGATATTTTATAAAAAGGGACAATAGTATACTATTTAAACTGTACGGCACATAACAATGACGGCACGTCAGAATAATAAGTCTAATGAGATACTTTGCAACAATAACAGTTGTCCTCTTATCTTTATCACGTATTAATTTAATACTATTTCTAACTCAATGAGTCGATGTACCGTAACCGCATTAGTTATGTGTTTAGCTTAAAATGGTATATATTTCATTATCAATGTGTTGTTTATGCTAACCATACCTGACGAAGGAACGCTCCCAAATTATTTTCCCCTTTCGCCCTATTTACTAGTCACTGTCTGAGAGATTCTTTGGTAGACGGTGTGATGTGTAGTGTTATATTTTCGCCAATTCGTTCCAAATTGCATGAGTGTCGTGTGTGGTTTACAGTTTTTTTTTTCAACTATAAAGGCCATATCGAAATTTGATAATAGTATATAAAATAATGTAAAAAAATCAATGTTAAACAATTTACCTAAGCAATAACATCGTTAATGATTTTGTTATTTCGTTGAGAATTTAGACTGGCTTAATTTAAAGATTTAAGGTTTAAAAAAACCAAGAAAAAGTACAAAACTTTGGAGATAAAAAAATTAAAGTAGCGAATTTTCGGTGGGAAATAATCATTATTAATATTTTTATAAATCTTGTATAAATATACTGAAAATTAATAGTAAGTTATATTATTTATGTTTTCATAAAAAAAATAAGTATTTAGTGGTCTTAGATGTTTGCTAATTTAATGATTTTGAGACTAATTTAGAGTTTCACCGACATTGATTCAAAATAAAAACATATTTCTTTGCAGCAATCGTAAATATTTAAAGTTCATAAATAAAACTTACAAAAAAAAAATGTAACATTAAAACTCATAAACCATACGATTCGATTTTTTCCCGAAATAAAAAAACACCTTTTTGGTTAGGTAACAAATGTGAATTTTCCTTCATCATTTCCGTGATATTACATTATTGGAAATAATAATACGAATGTTTTTTTAACAACGTCAATTCTGGCCAGTTGCAATTTTTGTGACACGTTTGGCTTTCGCCTTGCAAAAGTTGCAAAATTGTTTTATTTTAGTCTCTGATGCAGACGAGATCTAACACGATTACCGGAGTCTGCGATTTTTTTTGCACCCAATTTAATACGCCACGCTCAGCATTCTCAGCACGTGTCGTATGTTACGTTCAAGCTATTCGAAATATGAAATGTGCGGACGCTCGTTCGAACTTCAAAAGGACTCTTTTTAAATCGCTTATTTGGCATTGGTGCGATGTTTCTTTTATATAAACAGATACCTAGTAGCAAAGCTGTACTCATATCATACTTTTACAATGATCTTAACATGCATTTTTTTTAATTGAAAATTCGTACACTACGCGTTTAATAAATTTATTATTGAATATTTTCAATAGCTTTTTATATTAATTTAAGAGCGTTGTTTAAAGTGATTATTAAAATTTCTTAGTTATTCTCTTTTTAGATTATATTATGCGTGTGCATATCGATAGATTATACGAGTATTGCAACTCGTAACAGCTACTGGGGCGGTGAAGAAACCTTTTAGCTGAATTCACCCCGAAGGTAATACATACACTTATACAGTTTTATGTATCGCCACAGCCTTGGCTTCGCTGACACTCAAAACGAGTTTCGTAGTTTATTTAAGTTTTTCTACTGTTCCTAAATCTATCTTTACGTTTTCGAATAAAGCATCTAGGTTTTGTTTTTCTGTTATCTACTGAAATATTTAATATTTGAAGTGCGTTGGTTTGCATAGCATTAAACAAATGCTATGCAATAATATGCATATATAATCTATGTCGGTTTTGTAGGCAGTCCGCAGTGTAGGTTAGAAGGAACTTTGCCATTCCCGATTTCATGCCATTTAGAACGACGCGTTCAACAGCCTATTTCATTCGCGCGAGATAACTTATTATTTCGGATTACTTATGCCTTAAAATAATTTGATAGGCTGTGGCAGATAAGTTCTAAAGCAAACACTAGTTTAGACCGGTTGCCGTAAAATAAGCGTAGCGTAATAAAGACCAGCGCGATGTGCCTTAATCTAAGGCGCAATCTCATATGCGACCTTCACGCTGGAGAAACAACACGAGAACAATGGAAGCCAAACGGCGCGTTGGACAAACAAAACACGAACAAACGCGATAACCCTCTCGCCTAATGAACGGCACCGGCCGATTGCGACCCGTTAGCTGTCTTAAAGCCACACACACGCGCACTGCCACCCCCACAAAGGAACGGAAGAAGATACACTTGACCGGCACATCTTGAGCCACGGCATCCCACGGGCACAATGTCGGCGATGGGTTCGCGCAGCTCATCCTACGCTGGACGCTGGCAGGCGCGGGGTGTTAAGGAGCGAAAGAAGAAGCTCCCCCTTCCCCCCGGGGAACCGCTGCGAAAACTGGAGTCCACACCCCCGCAAGGAGCCAGAAATATCGATCGGGGCCAGTTCTTAATGTCTAAATTGTTGCTCCTCCGTGAATTACGCGAAGTGGAATGAAACCTCTTTGGTGAGATTCAGCCTGCACGATGTTTTACTCGTTTTTGGTAGTCGACACTAATGTTAATAATAACTAATGTTCAATACTATATAGACAAAGACCCCCTCCGTTTTGGACTTTTGACGCGAAAATATTTTTCAATATAAAGTACAATTATATGTGTTTTGTTATACCCTCTAGATTTAGTGGTATTTAAATATATCATAAGCTTTGATACGAAATCCAGTAAAATATATTTTTAAATTGTAATCCTTTGTATATTACAGTTTCCAGATTTGAAAGGTATATGGCCGAATAACTATAACTATAATGCCGACTTTTTTTTACACCGATTTGATGTTTGGCAGTTTTAGGTTATGGAAATGAATATTATAATAACTCTGTTTTTGCCTTTCATTTCACTGCTTTTATAAAATGTGTAACAAATAATAAGAAATAAAATACAGGTAATATGATGCGCAGTATTAAAAAAAAAAAATATTGTTTTAAAGGATAATATATTATTTTTGCTTCCATTTAGTTTCGAATCGTTATTTGTTTTATATAGAAATAAAGTAAATTTCTTTTGTAAAATTTATTTATATTTAAATTTTTAAATTATTACTTGAAATAAATTTCCCAGTATAATTAAAACTTTATGTATACCAAAAAGTCTTGAAATGTTTGGTAGCCGTTCAAATAGTTTTATTATTTAGGTGCCAAATTTAAGTAAATCTTTAGTTGCATGCAGTATGTACATATTGATATCCAGATATCCGATCTGATCGTATTTTGTTTAGTTGTATGTGCCTCCTCGAAGCTGCTTGAGTTTTATTAAAAGAACTAAGAACGCATTGTATCTTGTTCTAGGTTTCGTTAAAACAAAGCGTCTGAAGCTATGTACACATATAGGCAAGTATAGCAGAACGTACGTACAAACGAGCGGTCATCGCTGACTCCTCGAGTGGGCGATTAACTTGCTCTGTACACACATTAATCAAGTCGAGAGAGTAAGACGAGAGCGGATAAAAGTATTCGATAACAACAATCGTCGGCCGATCATTCTCGGTAGGTCATATTCTGCTTTTAATTGGTGCAGTGTTCTATTTTCGAATTGTGAGTTTGTTTTTTTTTTAAATAATTTCATTCATTTTCCGAAGACGTTTGACATTTGGATTTTGTTCGGTTTTAATTTAGTTTTCATTGCTATAAAAAAGTACATATTTCGAAAATTATAACTCAAAGATTAGAAATCATCGTGAAAAAAAAGAGTCTGAAATATATTTTTATTTATGTATGATTGTTATGGTATTTTTTGAGCAGCGCAATAATTTAGTTGTTGTTTTTCGACCTTTGACCCTGAATGTTGAGGAAACATAGGCTCAGAAAAAGCGAAATATTAATTCAATGAAATGTATTCAAGTCATCCACAAAAAAGAAATAGTGCCTATCAGGTGTCATAAATGGAATAGGGTTACAGGAGGGTGACTAATATACGAAATTCTAAACTAGTTTGAATAATCATTCAAACGATTCAAATTGAAAAGTGCGGTATGAGAGGTAAAACATATCAATTTCGGTTTTATATTTAAGATAATTTTAAGTATTTTGGTACAAAATAACATCACCGTAAAACTTAATTAACATGACTTTTTTAAATCTAATCGGAAGGATATTTGCTTTTAAAAAATGGAATGTTAGCTGCGAAAAACGAGTACTAATGAAATGTTAGCCGTGTCAATGCTGAGCGCAATTAAAATACAGTTTTGATTAAGCAGTTTTAAAAAACCATATACGCGTGTCACAGCGGTGTTTTTCGAAAACCTTTTGCTTTGTGTAAGGCATTTTTATTTTCTTTTTAGGATTTCTATTCTATTATCAACTTAGTAAAAAGCCTTATAAAATACGCATTATGAATTAACTTCTATTTTTAAAAATGGAACGAACGTACGATGTTTAATTAACAATGTTGCCGAGTCGTCTAGGATTTGACGTGTACATTTAACGTTCTTGAAAGAGTAAACAGCGACGGTCAGCGTTTGCATGTTACTAAATTAAAGACAAGCAAATCCTCAGGATTGGGCGCTCCTTGCCGGAGGTCCGCGGGCGGGGCGGGGCGCGGGGCGGGGCAGGGGGCAAGACACTCGATCAATACCGACCCGACTTTCAAACTGCTTTCACCCTCACGAAAGTCGCTCGGACTGTGTCCGACCTCACCATGTGGTAATACTACAGAGCTGATATTACCACCTAACGAATGGAAAATTGTTTTTTTTTTGATGAAATTAAATGTTATGATCGCTTAACTGTTAGGGAAAAATACGATTTACGATACGGCTAGAAACTGTTCAACATACTTATAGTTGAATTCTGGATAAGTTTTTAGATTACACTGCCATTACTGTAGTTAATAAGCGAATATCTGAAAAATATTGGGGTTTACAATGAAAATCAAAGGGTTTAGTAATTTTGAGAAAATGTCGCTCTTTTAAGCTTTTCGGTTCAACGTTGAATTTTAAACTATGAAAGCTATTGCCTGCGATGTTATTAGTTTGACCTATTGTTAAACGCTTAAAATAACGTAAGGGTATGTTACAATCGATAATATGTAAAAATAGTAATTATTTTTACAATTTGCGTTGAAAATAGTAAATTGTATCTCTTTCTTCCACGCGGGATCTTGCAATGAACCAAAAGTCTATTTCTCTAATATTATCTTGTTTGATTTCTTGCATTTTAAATTCTATAGTATTTTTACTCAAATTTTATTTTTATTAATTTTTTTTTAATTTTATTTTTTTTTGTTCTAAAGTTGCAACGTGTAGGGCTTGCAACGTAAGTCATAACATTTGTATCCAAAATCTATTATTATTGCCTGCGTTGTAGGATTCAATTTTCATTGTCACGTTACCTTTAATTTTGTGTTAACAAACGAAGAGTCGACATCTCGGGCAGACGGTAGATGTGATTTTCTCTATGGAATGGTTAATTTTGTCCGGTGATTTGCCGTCATATAATTTGTAGATAATGATGCTATGTGGACTCCGCAGAATCCAAAGCTGGTGTTATTTGGTATTGGTTATTCAGCTTGTCCATTTTCATACTCGATCTGCCATCTTTGAGCACCGACTCTGAACTAAAACAAAATAAACAATTAAATCAATAAACTTAAAGACGATTTAATATTTCCTGTAATATCGATATTTTGTAGTAGTTGCTAATTTTTGCGTTGATTCATTTCCAAAAAAAATTATAAATTATATTTAATATGTATAAGGTAAAATAACTAATTGCTTTCAACCTATGACAGAAAATAACTTTTTATTTCAAATCTAAATTTAAAGATGATTATCTATACCCTTAATGCCTGAGGATATAACTGGCCCACAGTTTCAAGTAATCAGGCTTTTGCTTTAAAATTTAAAACAATAAATACATAAAAGACATTAATTATTTGGATGTTTAAAAGGTAAACTGCTCTGGGAGAGGTCGCCGAGAATCATATTTTTGGGTTTTATTTAACGTGTGAGGTAGCCGAAGAATCTTCTTAAAGGTTGGCAACTGCAAGCGCGAAGAGTGGTTAATTAAGCGATAATGAACGTAGTATATCGGTGGACTATCGTTGGTGTTGATAATGATTTCAATTAAGGGCGTATCATCATCTCTGTGTAGATCGTGTTGGAGTCGCGTCTTCGTCGCGCTGTCTTCACGTATGCCTCAACCCACGCCGCGGGAGCGTTTCGCATCGCCACCACCACCGCCCCCCGCCATGTCTTATCGGGGTCCGCTGTATGCCGTGTAATTTTATTACTGCCCTATGTTCTGTTTGTTACAGACCTTCGTTAGATCCGTTGGAAAACTTTGTGCTGTTATAATTTCACGTTGTCCCATTTCTAGTCGTTCGCAGAGACAATGAGGTCCGTCTGTATAATGTCTTATGGCATTCTACTTTGGGGAAATTCAGCCGACATAAATACTATTTTCATCCTGCAAAAGAGAGCTATTCGAGCGGTTTATAACCTGGGCCCCAAAGACTCACTAAGAAACCTGTTTAAAGAAATAAAAAAATATTGACTGTAGCTTCTCAGTACATACTTGCTAATGTTATGTATGTCCACACAAAAATAAGAATGACTTTTCAAAATTTAGTAATGTGCTTGATGTAAATACTAGGAACAAGCATAAATTAGTTCTACCCTCAACTAGATTGCGTAGAATAAGTAAATCTTTTATGGGACAATGTATACGCTTTTACAACAAAATCCCAGAAAACGTTCAAAATGAATCCGTTGCTAAATTCAAAAAACTTGTAAAGGAACGTTTGTGTGTTAATGGCTATTATAGTATTAGTGATTATATGAATGATACCACACTCTGGAAATGAATTGATCGCTCCAGGCTCTTTCAAGTGGAGTTTAATAATTGTACACATATTTGTAATTTTTTTGGCAAGTAAAAAAAATAATGTCCCGCTGAGTTTCTTACGCCGGTTCTTCTCAGGTCAGTGGCTTACCTTCCGAACCGGTGGTAGAGTTTTTTGACTTTCAATAAGTGAATGCTTCTATATTGAATAAAGATATTTGACTTTGACTTTGACTTTGTAAACGCTCATTATAAATTGCATAGATAACACAAGATATTACATGTGAAACATTTCACTGAAGTCATTATGATAAAATGCAGTAAAAACTTATGAAAAAATCTTTTCAGTATAAAAATCGTGAATTTATCCTCTATGAAGGAATGTTGATTTAGGAACAACATGAAAACTAAAAATTGTTTTCTTATTTATTACTTTACTTTTTTATTATATTATTTGTGTGGAAAAGAAACTTTGGCTTAAGCAATATCTATTTGATTGAGATTCAAATTTAAGACTGGTTTGGTAGGCACGCGTCTCCTCTGAGAAGAAAATGAATAATGACAAAATTCATAAATGGCCTACCCATAGATTGTACAGTTTCAAAAAGAAGCATTTTTCTTTAGAAATATGTTATGAAGGTTACGGTGTACGGTAAGGTATGGTTAAGTATTATTTAACATGAAGTTTAATTTTAAACAATTAAATTGTAGTTAATTTTTTTATAATTCTTTACAAAAGGAATAGGTTCTTTTGTAAACAAAAGTTAATAAAATTTATCTATAAATGGGTTTAGCGTGACAAAAATGTTACGATGCTTGAATTCTCCCCGTATTGAAGTATCTTAGGAGTTTTACGCCCGGTTTTTAAAACTGATAAACTGATGATGAAACTGACTTATCACTCTTTGAATTGATCATTCTCATCATTAAGAACTGATCAATTCAGAGAGTTTAACCATCCTTTTGGTAACTTAAATAACATTTGAAAAGCCATTAGACAGTTTATTAGTTGACTTCCACGATGATCAGTGTCTCAGAAAACGGGTGTTAATGTTGGATATATATATATATATATATATATATATATATATATATATACGTTATATTTATACGGATATATATATATACGTTAAATTTCTAACGGATTTGACGGTGTCAGTAATTTACTTAAATACTTATTGATATATGATATATATCTTTTTATTACTTTTAAGACTACTTTTAGGGAAATATATTATACGGTGACCTTTTTCATTAATATTTAGTTTTGATTTACACACATTAAATAACGTACATGAACCAGACTTTGAACAAATATTAGCGAATGGCGAAAATATACGCTTAATTTGGGAATGTACCGACAACGAAGCAGTTGACGACGGGACGGTTTAAACTGTTGCACTATCTGAGCACGTTTTTCACAAATGTATCCAATAATTACACACAACTCCTTAATAATGCGATATATCTCGATAACAACGTAGATAGGAGTAAAACTCGTGTCATCTCGCCACCTGTTTGTGACCTGTTTTGCCGCGAAACCGCTTTGTACCATGTTACCAACTATTGGGGTCGCAAGGGTGAACAGCGCGACCTACGGGTCAGTTCCAGCAGGTTAGGTTGGGTGTTCCTTTTGTGTAGGTCAATTTTTCGTCCAAATGCCGCGGCGCGCCGGCGACAACGCTAGAAGTAGAATTTATATCGCAATAACATTGTAAATATGAAAGGCTGCGAGTGTGTTCGTTTACTTTGCGCGTCGAAAATCACAGATAGAGAAATCGGATTAAGGCGGGTTACGATATACTATCTACAGATGTATTTGGTTACTGGAGAAACAATTTTGATGTAAGTATCAGGGAGGCAATGTCAGATACCTATCGCTAGTAACTAAATCTATCTGTACATTGAATATTGACGGTCATTAGAAGACAGCTTATAAACCAGATGAATAAAAATAATAAAATATTTTGTTCCGAATACAATTATGCAGGCGCAGATGAAGTTAAAAGCTAGTGTGTTGTTATAACATTCGAGGATTTTTTAAATTTATATTTTGCGACGTTTGCGTCTATTGCGGAATGTATTTAGGAGTAGTTTTATTTTTTTATACATATTAAAATAGACATTGTTAAAATCCAGAATTAAGAGGTGATATTTAAATGATATCTTATCGTAGGTCAACCTTCAATAAATCCTTAATTCTATGAATAGGGTCATCCTGTTATAGTTTTGAATCCTGTATTTGTATTTAAATGTATTGTTTGATGTGTACTTTTTACTGTAGCTATTACAGTAGAAAGGCAAAACCTCAAGTGTTGATACACCGTATATATTAGTGCAAACATTTATTTTGCTTTCTAGAGTGTTCAGTTTCTAGAATTACGGTTCTCCCTTTGTAACAAATGGAAGGAGAGCGACAAACTGTCCACTGTAAATAAGAGATTTAAGCTCTAACCTAGTGGGCTATAAATTTTAAAGCAATTTAGACTTAATCGTTGAGTACGAAGCGAGCTAGGATCTTTCTCCGGGCTCGTGATCAACTGAAGGTGTTGACAACCTTTGGATCCCCTTAAATTAATAAAAACCAATATAAACTACAGCAAAATATTGAATATTATGATTTTTCTAATGCTAATGAGATCTTCATTATAAGAAGTCATAAAAGCCTCGTGGTTGCAGGGAAATTTTTACTTTTCGCTTTCCAACAACACTGGCGTTTTGGGACTTTCTAATGTCTATGAATTCTGTCTCTGTAAACTGCATTAAACTAAACATTATCGGAGGACTTAACTGGAACGTTGAATACCATCATTAATGGCCAATATTAATGAAAGTATGATAATGTTAATATCATTTCCGTTTTATGCACGAAGCAGGAAAATGTTGACGAGCTCTGACCAGTAGTTTACTCGGCTCTATACGATCCTGCGGAGTGGGGCCGCGTTGTAATAAAATCTGGCCGTCTACGGAAGCTTTATGAATATTGTTTTGGCGCAATAAAAGATAAGGCGTGCCAAACCACTCCGCTTGTATGTTTTCTTAACTAATGTTATCCTATAGCTTCAACCAATATTAATATTAAAATAATAATTTTTAACTTTGGGTCCGTGCGGTCCGTCCGTCCGTCCCCACACATCAAAGTTTTTTAAAGGTTTATGTCCTAGGCTTAACGCCGCGGCTGGGACAAGAGAGCTGGTTCTTTTCTCGCTCAAAGAAATACAGCTAGCATTCTCTGCATAATGCCGCGTGGATTGAGTTTATTAGATAATATGTAATTTTAGATAGATTTAATCTTGTAAATATTAGATATATTAAAATTGAAATGCCGATTGGTGATATCGAAATGAATGTCAAAGTTTTAGTGAAAACTGATACTTATATGAAGCCTAAGAAAAATTATTGTTTTAACTTTTTTTTTCTCTTGTTTAAATTAATGTTATAGGTTGTGAAATGAAATCAATTTATGGGTTTTCCGCTTATAACTAGTTTTGGTTTTAGTTCCTGACATTTCGAACACTTAACATAAGAATTAAAACCAAAATAAAAATTTGTACGTCTTAAAACAAGAATATGAACGTATTTTCTTGTCAATTTCACGTTTCGATATCTTTTAGAGTTCAGGAAATATGAATATAAATATTTTAAGTGATGAAAAACGTCTGGCATGAACAGGTGAGTAAACGTGACGCTTCGGGATTGTTTCGGTTGAGATAGTGGAAATCATTTGGGCATCGTAATAATTGTAGTGTAATAGAGAACTAAAACAACAATACATGTGAGCTCGTCCGGAAAAGCAGATTTATATTACGGCCCAACTAAGATCATAAAAGTATACTATATCACCGACCCGAGTATTAATATCCTAACATTTATCATCCCGACCCCCGCAGCCCCTTCTTTTGTGTAAGAAATACACCCGCAACAGCCCAGCAGACAAGTTTCGATGGTGGAGGCTATTCGGGCGTACACGGCTGACGTCGCAACTTGTTTGACGACGTTCTTAGCTTGGCCGCTTCGACGGTTGCTCTAGGAAAATTGGGAAGTTTGCCCTCGTTATGTGAAAAACAACCTTATATTTATAATCTTAGAGTCCTATTTCGATATTTATACATTTAAGTTACACAATAAAGGAAGCGAGGCAAAATAGATCTTACCGTTTTGAGTTAAAGATGTTTGTTATTTGGCTAATTTGCGAGCAGCCTCCCGGAAGGGTAGAGTCGTAAGGAAGTTCGACGATTATGTTTAGTCAGCGTTGGCAGTGTAATGGAAAGGAAGTAGAAATTGGGGCCTGTAAGATGCGGTCGTATAAGGCGGCCATTCCTGTTTCGCCCACCCCCTCCCCGGGCCGGAGGTGGCGGGAGGGACGATTTGTTTGTTTCTAAGGTCCGTTCTAGTCCGCAGCTGCGGGTAGGGTTTAAATTTCGCACTCGTGGACCT